TTGGGAAAACCAGTCAAGTATTCCTTCAACTGTTGCTGGTACTTTAAAGTCCATTGACATGAGAGGTTTTCTAAATATAAGGACAGCATTTATAATTTTAGGAACAATTCCAATAACAACTTGTGAATGTGAGAGAAGTATTTCAGTTATACGTAGGCTAAAAACATTCTCTAGAAGTAATATGATTGAGTCTCGCTTTAACTCTTTAGCATTAATGTCCATACATCAAGAAATTTTTCCAGATGTTGAAAGAGTCATTGACATTTTTTCAAAGTCAGGTGAAAGACGTTTAGACTTTTATTTAGTAGTGTACTAACTTTTATTTTACTTATTTCTAATTTGATTTTTATCAAATTAGAAATAATTATCTAATATTGTGTGTGTGTGTGTGTTTATATATATATATATATATATATATATATATATATATATATATATATATATATATATATATATATATATATATATATATATATATATATATGTCCAGAAGTGGAGGGCCAACCTTAGGCAATATTACTTTACACTCCAGAAATGGAGGGCTAACCTTGGGCAAAATGACAGTATACAGATGAAGTGCAAAGTCCTTTGGCTTACCTTCTCGTTGGTGCACTTTGTTAAGTAAATTAGGCTTAAAATTACATGTCTAATTTATGAACAAAATAGCCAAGGTAACATTTGTAAAAATTTCTGCTAAAAATGGATACTGCAAAAGCAATACAAAATTTAGTTATTATTCAATGATATAAACAGCGACGCCACTAGTAAAAAAAGCTGTTTCTCCACATTTTATATTGACTATACTTAAACCCTAGAGAGGTTGCGGGGGGGGGGGAGAGACGTCGATAAAAAAATTTCGCATCACCCATTTAAAATGCTAGATCCGCCCCTGCATCGTATATTTCATAAAACGTTTTAAAAAACGTATTATAAACTAAATTAGCGTCAGCACAGGTATCTATTTGTTTCCAATGAAGATAAGATAATTGTTCTTTAAATGTTTTTAAATTATCAGAAAAAAAACGTTTTTTAAAAGTTTGTTTTTGTTGAGATATTATATCTGCGTCGATATTAATAGAGAAAAAAATAGGGAAGTGGTCCGAGACGTCACTTTTAATGATGCCTTTTTTTAGAGATTTATTGAAAACATCAGTTGTTATAATATTGTCAATTAAGGTTTTTGATGTAGGAGTTATTCTTGTTGGTTTGTTAATTATGGGAAAAGCACCGAGTTCAAATAACTCGTTGTAAAATTTTTTAACGCCATAATTAGTGTGGTATTGGTAACAATCTAAATTAATGTCACCTATTAAGTAGTATAATTTATTTTCACAAATGCTTTTTTTAAAATGTCATTTAAAAATAAATTAAAATTTTCTATACTGCCCGAAGGTGGGCGATAACAAAAACTTATAATTAAATTTTTTGTTTTTTTTTGTTTGTTTGGATTTCAACTGTTAAGACCTCATTATCGTCATCAGAATTGCTCATGTCAGGCCTGATAATATACTGCAAATATTCTCTAATATAAACTATTAAACCTCCGCCTCGCTTTCCATTTTTTCTATCCAAAGAAATTTTATTGAAACCTGGTAAAAAAATACTTGAATTCAAATTAGAGTTATTAGAGTTACACCAGGTTTCAGACATGCTAATTAAACTAAAAATATTAAGAGATTCTTTCATGCTTAAATAGATTTTTTCAAAATTCTTTGATATGCTTTTTATATTAATATGAAAAGTGTTAAAATATCTACAGTTAAGAAACTCTTTTATTTCGTCTGCATAGTAATAGGAGCAGTTGCTTTGTAAAGCATGTGCTTCACAAAAGTAATTTAAGTCCGGATCTGATTGGTTATTAAATAAAAACTCATCAGTTCGGAAAAAATCATAACTTAATTCAAAGTCGTTTAAATTATTGGAATCCATTTTACCATTTTAGAAAACCATAAAATAAAAGAATTTCCTTTAATCGCGCGTTATTAACTTATTATATACAACCTTTGCATATTTACCTTTTATTCGTAAATCTTTTGCAGCCGCAAACAACTTCTTTCGTAATTCGGTTGTCCTTTTGCTGAAATCTTCGTTCACATATATTCTTTGATTCCAAAGTTTCGTCTTTATATATTTAAAAAGCACTGTTGATTTGTCCTTAAAATTTAAAAATTTGACCACGATAGTTCTGCATTTTTTAATTGTATTATCTTTATCATTTTTCCCAACTCTATGCGCTCGTTCAATAATGAATTCACCTTGAAGATCAAATTTTTTTTTTATTAATTCACGAACTTTACTTTCACAATCGTCCCAACTTTCATCAACTGAGTCCTCATGTTCTTAAGGAACATTATGGTTGATGCTCTTAAGGTTTTTTTTTTTTATGAACAAGATTACTAAATGAGGGTAACTCCCCCTTCTTTTTATTTGTGCTAAAATTTATTGCACTTAATGGTGTTGCATCGGCACTGCGTTTTTAGGCATGCCATAAACAAAGCTGAGTTGTAGATGCATCATCTCTATTTAATCGGTGGTGCACAGCAGCCTCAAGTTTAAAAAGTAGAGCTGCAATATGTGAACAGACTGAACCTAGTCCTACTGGACAAGTGCAGCTGGCTATTTCAATCCACCCATCTTTGTGAAAACAAACCCATACTTCATACATGCAACTCTTTATGCTAACTCTCTGGCTTGGAAGAACCTAAATAAAGATCTATCTATCTATAGTAAAATAAGAAAATATTGATCGTGAACAAAATTCGTCCAATGTTACTTATATCTTAATATTATTAGCCTAATAATAACTGATTTGTATGCTCCTAATAATTACAAATCAGTTTATAAATCAATGTCTATAATATATAACCTTAGTTTTTATAAAACAATAATCTTCATTGATACTTGGAGCATACAAACAATCTTGCACGTGGCCACACAAAAAATATGTTTTATATGCTTCCAATGACTTGTATGCCTTAGTATTTTCTTTTGTAAACTCACTAGGAGTGACGGTGAGAAAACTTATCACGTCTCTCCAAGTAATGTCAGGCAACTTTGTAATGTCTTTCTGCCGAACACTTCCATTAATATATTCCGGATTTAACTCAACCACGCTAACAATATTCATTGTTTATTTAATGATAAATATGATTTTAATATTTTAAATGCTGTGTTTATAAGTAATGTTGACAATAGTTAAAACGATATTTAAAATTGTTTTGCCTGCCAGTATGCGCACGCATATTGTTTACATTTTGCTTTATACGTCACATGAAATTGGTCTATAAAATGTGTGTTTAAAAATGTGTAAGTGAGTACCCATATATTTCATGTATATTATATTCAATTTTAATACTATATTTTTGTGTATTGTATAATAGAGTTTCTAAATAATTTATTTGTTATACTTTTAAAAACTTATATTTATTTATTTATTATAAATATACTTCTTATATATGAATGGTTAAGCGCTAAACCTGCCTATACAACAAAATTGAAAAAAATTAAAGTTAAAAAAAGATTTATGTTGTGTTTTTTTGCTAACACCAATACACTATTTTATGCTTTTAACTGCAAATTCTTTTAATCTTTTCGGTTTAGTGGTTTTTGTTAAAGACTTTTTGTTTAAGTGGCTTTTGTTACAGACGTTTGTTAAAGACTTTGCGTCTAATTATCTCGTTTCAACGTATTCGTTAAATAAGCAGGTTTGGCGCTTAACCATCCATACTATATTCAATTTGAAATCTTAATGAATATAATAGTTAAAAATAATAATAATAAAATCATTATATATTTTATTATTTTATGATAAATAATTTTGTAAATTTGTCTTTATGGTGAAACACAATAATAGTAATAACAACATCCGGAAAAAATCCAGAATTTTGTTAGAAAAAAAAATCCAGTGTTATGTCATTTTTTTATATATATAAAAGAAAAATATTTCGATACTTGTTCAACTAAAGTTTATAAATTAAATCAATTTTTATAAAAAAAAATTATTAAATCAACATACATTATTTTTTTCGGTCTAACAATATATAATATATATACGTATACAAATGGGTATTTAAATCCAATATGGGTTTAAAAAAAAAAAAATTCCACTGAACACGCAGTACTTCATGTGACTAGAAATATTACAGATTCGTTTCAGAAATCACAATTTACTTTTGGAGTATTCATTGATCTATCAAAAGCCTTCGATGCGATAGGCGCTGAGATTTTAATACTAAAACTTCATAACTATGGAATCTGTGGTAATTTTCTAAATTACTTAAGAGCTGTTTAAGCGATCGTAAACAGTATGTGCAAATCGATGTATCCTCTACTACAAATTTACTAAATATCAGGGAAAAGATGATAATTGTATCAAAAATATTTTTTAATATTTGCTATTGAAAAAAGTTTGAAATTCTTAATTGCTTTAACAACATTTAACAAACATTTTACCACTTATTATTTTTTAAATGATTTTGGGCTGGTATAGACCATGGCCTGATATAGATAGCTTAGTATAGATCTTTCATTTTTGATAATGTCCTAATAGGAAACTAGATTGAATTGACCCCAATGTTTGATAACGTTCTAATCTAGGAAATTAGATTTAAATGAAGAGCAAATAGAAAAGCCAGCCAGCTATGAGTACCGTTAGTACGTTTGTACAATTTTGCATTTACTCGACATTTACACTACAAGACTGTTCTATCTCTTTTAACAATTTCACTTTTTAAAACTTTCAACGTTCTCAACATAAATTTTAAAAAAATTGAAACGTTCTCAGCAAAAATTAAAAAAACTTTCAACATTCTCAGCATAAATTAAAAAAAAAAAGTAGTAACAATAGTGCTTATCTAACGTTTCAAAAAAGCACCATCTTTATTTTTTTCCTAATATCACATTAATTTTGTGACGAGATTCTCAAAGGAATATGGGAAATTTAAAGAATAAATCATTAGTGGTAGATATGGCAACGGATTAGTGTAAAAAGTAAACTAAAATAACTTTAAAAAAAATTTGACAGTTTTTCTAAATAAACGAAATCAATTATAAATTTGATTTCAAATTTTTAACTTGAAGTTTTTGAAGTTTCATCGCGATTCCCATGTTACCTGAAATCTTTAGTTTTCCTTGGAGAAAAGCCTAAATAAAGAATAATATTTAGAATAATTTAGAAGTCAACTGACACTTCTTCACTCGGACAAAGTTATAAAAAACTAAATTACAGTTTGAGGATTAAGTTGTCCAACCATCATTTTAAAACAGTCTTCATCTGTCATTTTGATCGTACAATCAGCTTTTAGTTCTATAATAACAATAAAATATAATAAAATAACGACAAAATATAATATAATTACGGTAAAATATAATAAAATAATGACAAAATCTTATAAGATAACAACGAAATAATAAAAACATTGCAAAATTCTTGGCATTTAACAACCTTTCATTTTTTTATACTTCCAAACAAAATTAATGTTTTTATTGACTTGAAATAAAATATTAATTAAAAAATCTTCTTAGATGTTTTTGAATTTACTAAATTCTTTATACATTTTATTGATTTCTAACGTTTATGGAGCCCTGTTTTTTTTTTCAAAATTGATAAACATACCCTGTTTAAATAATATAAGGAGCTGTTTGATAATGATTTTTTAGGATGAAGAAAAAAACTTTAAAGCTTATTTTTTAAAGTTTTTTATTTTATGAATGATTTTTTTTTTAAACCAAACTTTTAAATGATCGCCAAATATGAAAATAATTATTCGATTATAGCAACTATTCCATATAGTATTCTATATTTAACGTAAAATGTAATGATGCAAAAATTTTTATTTTTATGTTAATACTTTATCATAATGGTTTTATTTTTAATTCTTTTAATATTTTTTAATTCTTCTCTTATCTTTTAGAGTCATAACACATGTCCGTTGATCGTCATCTTTTCTGTTTTTTCACTACGCAAAACATCATCAAACTTCATTGGCTATGTTCTACCGTTACAGTGTGTTTTATTTTATTTTAAGGTGGATTTCCATTACTTTTCACTGATCCACTACCTGTTTTCCTTAATTGAATTTAAAGTTACACAAACTCAGTTTTAGAAATATTAGACTTAGATTCTTTTTCAAAAATGCTCTTCAATTGCAAAAATATAAACATTAATACAACCCATATTTAAAGTATCAAGAGAAAATCATTAAACTACTGAATAAAATTTTTTATTACGTGTACAATATAAAATGTACTAAAGTTAAGTAGATTTGTTGAAGAGCTATTTTCCCTGATTTTTTCAAAATTTAATCTAATTTACCAGATTAAACTCTGATTTTTTTGCAGATACTTGATTTTCATGACTTTTCCCTGATCTGGTAGATACCCTGTGTTATACATCATAACAACCTGGATGCATGTAAACTTTCTTTTAATCTTTAATGACGCATTTTTTGCTGTTGGTCAAGGCACACCCAAATTTTGCCAATAATACAATTTCTGCCCGACTAGCTTTTGCTATAACTCCATCTTTTCAGCACTAAAATTTGAGTAATAATTCTTCTTCTGTCTTTGCATTCAAACATAAATCATCTGCATTGAATAGCCTCCATGGTAAATCAACACTAAACTCCTTAAAGTGCTTCTCAAGCAATAGTAAAAAAAAAACAAACTGAACACTGAACGCTGATACAAAATATATTTGAATTTAAAACCACGGATGAGGAGAAAAATAGCAACAATGCATATCACATAAAATAATTACCTTAATGATAAGCTGTGAAAAGCTTGGTTGCTTATTCCACGCAAACTATGATTGCGTATTATGTCTCCTAAAAATGCCCAAACATGTCATAAACCTAAATAATAACATGTTATAAAGCTAAAAGATAACATTAGGAATTGGCTGGAAACTGGTGGAAACCGCAACTGTTTAATCGTTTGTTTTTTTCCCCTCAAAATCGAAGTAATGTGGAAAGCACAAATATCGTGAAAATATATACAAAATACTATAAAAATTTTAAAATTGCACTTATTTCAATATTTTTAAAAATTATTATTAGTTTGAAAAGATGAAAGATTGAAAAAGATAACATTGAGTTACATTTAGAATTCTTGTTATTTGGCTGAGTGTAAGACTCATTATTATTTGACAGAATGTAAGACTTATTATTCAACAATTTTTAATAATACCTCAAACATGATTGTTAAATGGTAGTAAGTACAGGAATGCAAGTACATTTCTGTACATTTAATATTGTGATTTTTATCATCAATATTTCTACTTTTTTTTTGTAGATACTGAAAGAATCTTTCAACAATATTTAAAAATAATCATAATAATCAAATAACAATAATAACACTGTAAAAATACCGAAAAAATAACACCGTAAAAAAATTCCGTAGTAATTATCGAACTTTTTCTGTTGTTATAATAGGGGTCGTCAATAAATTACGTCACGCTTTAGGGGTGTTGTGGGGGCAGGCGTAGGCGATTCTGTTTCATTATATATACGTATATAATTTTAAGTTAGTGATTTTAATATATTTTTTTTACTGGGACTAAAGTGCTATGTTTTTAAAGAAGTACATTCACCTAAAATTCCCTTTAATTTAGATTAAAGATGCTGGTATATATAGATATAGATATTTATTAACGACAGTTACTTCTGAAAATTAGTTTCCTATATTATATAGGATTTATATGGTTTAAGAATCTTTGCTTATGTATAGAATTTTTTAAAGTTAGTAATAAGTCAAGTTTTGTTTACAATTTTATATAGAAATTATATTGAATTTGCGATTGAAAGTATATATATTTGAGATTATTTATTGTTTTTTATTTTATATATATATATATATATATATATATATATATATATATATATATATATATATTTATATATATATATATATATATATATATATATATTAGGGTATGGAACTAAACTGCAAAAAATGTAAGGTGATGAGATTCGGCAATCAGAAAGTTTTTCGAGGTATTGATAAAACATACACAATGAATATAAATGGAATGATTTATGACCTCTCAAACAGTGTATTAGAAAGAGATCTAGGTGTCTTTGTACAACTGGATATGAGGTGGAAGCATCAAACGCAAGTATGTGTTAACAAAGCTTCAAAAATACTGGGTTTATTGAAAAATGCCTTTGAAAGTAGAGATTGTTTTATGTGGAAAATTTTGTATTCTACTTATGTGCGACCTCATCTTGAATTTGCGGCTCCAGCGTGGAGTCCTCCGAATGTGGCCGAAATCTCAATGCTTGAAAGAGTTCAACGTAGGGCCACAAAAATACCATACTCAAACCGAATGTTAAGTTATGAGAAACGGCTAGTTAAAATGGATTTAATTAATTTAAATCTCAGAAGAAAACGAGGAGACCTTATTCATTTATATAAGATATTAAACAATCTAGAATTTGTCAATCTTAATGTCAAACTAGTCTATAAGTACAGCATTAAATTAGATGGCCCATGTTCTTCCATTAGAGGTCTCCTCGAGAAATAAATGACTTTCATGCATCATGCAAGGACTCCTCGAGAAATAAATGACTTTCATGCATCGGTTAGCTCCAGAATCCATTTCTTCACAAACAGAGTTTGCCAATTTTGGAACAAACTTCCGGAAAAAGTTGTAGATTCCGAGAATTTGAATAGTTTTAAAGCAAGTTTAGACGAATGGCTTAAGAAAAATAAGAAAATATTAATTTAAAAGAAAAAGAAAAAAAAAAGTACTTGGCTGCTATAGCTGAACGTTACAACGTCTCAGCTTGTGATCCACGCAGTTTACCACTAACTAACTAACTAACTAACTAACTAACTAACTAACTAACTAACTAACTAACTAACTAACTAACTATATATATATATATATATATATATATATATATATATATATATATATATATATATATATATATATATCAGGGTTCCTACAGGGTCATTGGTAAAAAACAGGACATTTTTTTAAAAAAGACAGGACTGTTGAGGCCTTTTTTTTAGAATTGATATATGTAAAATATAAAGTGCTAATGAAAACAAAGAGATTTATTACTAAACATATTTCTAAGTGTTTATTTTAATATACCCGTATATCATGTATAAAACATAAACCTTTTTTTATTTATTTACACTTTTGCCGATAAAAAAAAATTTACAGTCGTAACTTATAAAAAAAATAATTACATGACCGGGGCTAGAAGAAGACAAATTTAGTCTTATCATTAAGCCCCAAAGTTTTATCATTAACCTTCCAAAAAAGAATTGGAAATTTTTAAATTGACCAAAAAGGTCTTCTGCAGTACACCTTTCTACAAAAAAAGTCTCAAGTACGATATTATTATTTGCTGAAAGTGATTGGAATGGTACGTGGCATAAGTGTCATATTGTTTTTTTGTCAGTGATGTTTAAAAAAAAAAAAAAAAAAGGTGTTGAAACTATGTTCAGTAATAGCTGATATTATACCTAAAACAAAATTAAATTTTGTTTGAAAAACTTTTTATCTTGATTAACTCCTAAATCCATAAAATATATCATTTTACATATAAACATTGTCATATAAACTTAAAAAAAAAAAACTTTTAAAACATATAAACTTTTAAAAACATATAAAAACAATACATAAAAAAAAAATACAATAAACAATACATAAAAAAACATACATCAGGGGCGGATCTAGGGGGTATCCTGTGTTGCCCAGGATTCACTCATAATATTCTAAAAAATTATAAAAAATTCCGTTTCATAATTTAAAAAATACTAAACTTAAATTTATAATATACTAATATGTATATATGAGTTCTTATACGGCTATAACAATGTTTCAGACTTAGCTCTCCTCCGTCATGTTCAAAACGCCGCTATTAAATCAGGATTCTTTTTTTAAAGTAAACGGTACCGAAAGAACCCTTTTAATCAATCGTTATTGCAATGTATTTATTTTGCTTGCCGTAATAAAGGCCAAAAAAATCCCTATTGATTCGACCCGAATTTCCGGTAGACAACAAAAAAAGTTGCAGGAACGTTTGATCAAAAGGGTTCTCTCGGTTCCGTTTATATATAAAAATGAATCCTTAATTATTCTAATAACGCCTTAATTATTCGCATAAAGCCTTAAGTATTCGAATAAATTGAAGTTTATCAAAAATTAGCTAATAAGTAGTTTTTATTACAAATTTTATTTTTGTTTACAATTGTGGATTTGTTGCTATCCAATGCCATTATAGCCAAGCATTTGCCTAATATTACAACTTACAAAGCAAAGCTTCGTAATAATCTTAAAGAATTAAATTG